TGGTCCTGCTCAGCCCAGACTCCTATGTATCACTTCCATTTAATGATGGTAAGACACTGTGCAAGTCCAATTTTGTGACTCTGTGGGTCAGACAACAACTACAGACAGCATGATGGGCACTCTGGTCATATAGTGACTTCATGGCCAATGGTTAAGCATTCAGTCTCTACTAAGGCCCAACAACAAGCCAAAAACTGTTGCTCAAATGGAAAGTATTTATGTGCAGAAGGTAGCAGAACTTCACTCCAGAATCCTAAAGGCTGTGCTGTGATTCACCTGCAAAAGACTCTAAAAAGCATTTCTAGCTGCAGCTGGCATTTCAAGAACCACTGGACCAGATGAATATGGTCTAAATGGCAGAGCAGCTTTCTTGACCGCCTGAACCTGTTGCAGAGCCTTCTCTTGCTCTGGGCTCACTCAAAACTAGCAGCTGTTTGAGTCCCTTGATAAATATACTGGAATTATTATTGTTGTTGTTAGGTGCTGTTGAGTTGGTACTGACTCATAATGACCCTATTTACAACAGAATAAAACACTGCCAGATCTTGTGCCATCCTTGTAACCACCACTATGCTTGAGCCCCCTGTTTCTGCCATGTGCAGATACATCTCGTTGGGGGGGTCTGTCTCTTTTTCACTGTCCCTCCACTTTACCAAGCACGATGTCTTTCTCCAGGGACTGGTTTCTCCTGACAACATGTCTGAAGTATGAGAGACAAAGTTTGGCCATCCTAGCTTCTAGGGAACATTCTAGTTGTACTTCTTTCAACACTGATTGGTTTGTTCTTCTGGCAGTCCATGGTATCTTTACTGTTCTACTCCAACACTCAAATGCATCTAAATTTCTACGGTCTTCTTTATCCACTGTCTAATTTTCACGTGCACATGAAGCTACTGAAAATGTTATGGCTTGAGTCAGGCTCACTTTAGTCTTCAGACTGGTATCTTTGCTCTTGAACAATTTAAAGCAGTCTTGTACAGCAGATTTGCTTAATGCAATACATCATTTGATTTCTTGACTACTGCTTCCATGAGTGTTGATGATGGAGACAAGCAAAATGAAGTCTTGGACAATATCAATCTTTTATGCATTTGTTGTATTTCATTGTAATACCTAACTTTGTTGTTAAGTGCCATCTAGTGAGTTCTGACTCATAGAGGCCTAGTACAACGTTTCCAAAGAGTGGCTGGTGAATTTGAACTGCCAATCTTGGGACTCAAACTGACCCATGGCCCTGTGCTTATCATGCAGCGCCAGATGGTCCAGTGGTGAGGATTTCTGTTTTCTTTGCACTGAGGTGCAACCATACTGAAGGCTGTAGGATTTGATCTTCATCAGTAAGTATTTAAAGTCCCCTTTGTTTTCAGCAAGCAAGGTTGTATCATCTGCGTATCACAGGTCGTTAATGAGTCTTCCTCCAATTCTGATGTCACATTCCTCTCCATATAATCCAGTTTCTCAAACTATTTGCTCAGCAATCATATTGAATAAGTATGGTGAAAGAATACAACCTTGGCACACACTTTTCCTGATTTAAACCATTTAGTGTCCCCTTCTTGTTCGAACACTTCGTCTATGTACAGGTTCCTCATAAGCACAATCAACTGTTCCAGAATATTCATTCTCCACAATGTTGTCCATAGCTTGTCATGATCCACAACATCGAAAGCCTTTGCATAAGCAATAAAGAACAGATAAACATCTTTCGGTTATTATCTGCTTTCAGCCAACATCCATCTGACAACAGCAATGATATCACCATTCCACATTCTTTCATGAATCCAGCTTGAACCTCTGGCAGATTCCTATCAATGTACAGTTGCAGTTGTTTTTAAAGTATTTTTAGCACAATTTTATTTGAATGTGATATTAATGATACTGTCCGATGGTTTCCATATTCCGTTGGGTCGCCTCTCTTTGGAATGGGCATAAGTATGGCTCTCTTCCAATTGGTTGGCCAAGTCATCAAATTTGATGGAATACAATTGAAATCTTTCAGTCAACAGACGAAGCACTGGAGGCACTCACTCATTTATGCCAAGAAATTTGTCATTATCAGCTAGCTCTGTTACTCCAAGAAATTAAGAGTTGTCAGTGCCTTTGTTGTTGTTGTTGTTGTTGCTGAAGTGCCTTGGAGTTGGTTCCTATGCATAACAACCCTGCATAGGCTTCTGATGAGTAGCTGGTGGGTTTGAAAAGCTAACCTTGTGATCCAGTGCACTGTCCTGCAGCAACACACCAGGACTCATTCAGTGCCTTTGCCGTTGTTGTTGATGTTAGGTGCCATCAAATTGGTATCGACTCATAGTAACCCTGTGCACAACAGAATGAAACAGTGACCAGTCCTGAGCCAACCTTATAATTATTGCTACGCCTGAGCCCATTACTGCTGCCATTGTGCCAATCCATCTCATTGGGGATCTTCCTATTTTTCTCCAACCCTCCACTTAACCAAACATGATATCCTTCTCCAGTGACTGGTCCCTCCAGACAATATGTCTGAAGTATGAGGGACAAAGTCTGGTCATCCTGGCTTCCAAGGAGCATTCTGGCTGTACTTCACAAATCTGTTTGACCTTTTGGCAGTCCATGTACTTTTAATACTCTCCTCTAACACCATAACTCAAATGCATCAATTCTTTTATGGTCTTCCTTATTCACTGTCCAACTTTCGCATGCATATGAGGTTATTGAAAATACCATGACTTGAGTCAGGCGCACCTTAGTGCCATCTTTGCTCTTCAATGCATTAAAGAGATCTTGTGCAGAAGATCTGCCCAATGCAATACGTCCTTTGATTTCTTGACTGTTCCTCCCATGAGTGTTTATGGTTGATGTGAACAAAATGAAGTCCTTGACAACTTCAATCTTTTCTCCATTGATAAGAATAGTGTTTATTGGTCCAGTGGTGAGGATTTTTGTTTTCTTTATATTGAGATGCAACCTATACTGAAGGCTGTGGTCTTTGATCTTCATCAAAGTATTTTAAAACCTCTTCACTTTCAGCAAGCAAGGTTGTTATCATCTGCATATCGCAGGTTGTTAATGAGTCTTCCTCTAATCCTGATGCCATGTTTTTCTTCATATAATCCAGCTTCTCAGATTATTTTCTCAGTTTACAGATTGAATAACTTTGGCTTTTAAGATCAGTCAAACTTAAGAACTAATTCAGAAAACTCAACCAATCTTATGATTCTGTTCCCATAAACAGGGGTGGTTGTTGCAAAGTCGGTTCCGACCCATAGCAACCCTGCATACAGTTTCCGAGAAGCAGCTGATGAGCTTGCACCGCCAACCTTGCAGTTCAAATGGCTTTGCAGTCTGGCGCATTAACCCACAGCACCACACCAAGGCTCCAGAACAGGAGTGGGGAACCTTTTTTCCTGTAAAGGACCATTTGGATACTTATAGCATCTTGCACAGGCCAAACAGAATTATACACTTAAAATCAGCCTTCTGCATTTGGTCAAACATGCCTGGTGTGGCACTGTGGACTAATGTGTCAGACGTCAAAGTTGTTTGAACTGCAAAGTTGGTGGTTCAAGCTCATCAGCTGCTCCTTGGAAACCCTATACAGGGTTGCTATGGGTCGGAATTGACTTGACAGCACTTAACAATAACAACAATGCAGCACAATGGAAAATGCACTGGACTGCAAGATAGTCTTAAACTGCAAGGTCGGCAGTTTAAATTCACCAGCTGCTCCTTGAAAACCCTAAACAGTATCAGTATGAATCAAAAATGATTTGACGGCACTTAACAACAACAAAAACAACAACAAATATGATGGTTGGAACTGCAGTTGTCTTGCAGGACCAGACCAAATGATTTCTTAGGACTTATTCACCCCACAAAGGAGCTCTGGTAGTGTAGTGGTTAAGAGTCGGGCTGCCAACCTCAAGGTTAGCAGTTCGAAACTACCAGCGGCTCTGCGGGAGAAAGATGAGTTGTTCTGCTCCCGTAAAGATTTACAGCCTTGGAAACCCTTTGCAGGGTTACTATGAGTCGGAACTGATTCCAGGGTACTTAACAACAACATTCACCCCAGGCCAGATTCCCCACCCCTGCTACAGAACAACTCTTGGTGCCAAATGTCTTAGGCTGAGTTCTCGAGGGGAACAAAACCAGGTAAGTTTGTATATATACTGTTGTTGTGTGCTGTTGAGTAGGTTCTGACTCATAGCAACCCTGTACAGGATTTCTGAGGCTATAATTCTTTATGAGAGCGAAAAGCCTCATCTTTCTCCCATTATGTATGGATATGTTGTTGTTGTTAAGTGCTGTCGAGTCGGTTCCAATTCATAGTGACTCTGTATAGGGTTTCCAACGAGCGGCTAGTGGGTTTGAACTACCCAACTTGTGCTTCAAACTGACTTTGCGTCCAGTGCTTATCCTACAGTGCTGTACCAGGACTCCTTTCAAGTAGAATAGATGGAAAAGGTCAATTTCCATGAGGTTGTCAGACTCAGCTGAATAATGATGTTTATTAAAACTGACATCACAAATTGGTGTACCCAAACATGCTTTTGGTATGTAAAACAGGCAAATTCTCACCAAGTTGAAAGTTGCTTAATACCATATTAAAAAACGGAAAATTATTTGAAGAGAAAAATAAAATTTTAGTTTTAGTCTCACAAAACCTTTTCTAACTAAAATAAATAAATGAAAGTCCTTTGCTGAGTTTATTCAGACACATAGAACCTTAAAGGACAGAGAAGAAATGCTCTATAGGGTTCCCAAGGCTATAATCGTTAAGGAAGCAAATTGCCACATCATTCCCCATGGAGTGACTGATGGATTCAAATACCGGCTTCTCAGTTAGCAGCCAAGCATGTAGCCACTATGCCAACAAGGCTCCTTAAACCATTATACTTATTCTTCTTTCTCAGTTAGGACTAATCACGCCTCTAAAACAAAAGTTCTAATTGATGCTATGGAAAGCAACTTGTTAGCCAACCTGAGAAATTGCTTTAATTTATGTAACATGCATTTCTACTTACCACGCCTCCAAAATATTTTCCTATATAGAAGTCATCGAGGCTGTGGAGTTCCAGATAGGTAGCCCCTAGTTCTTTGGCAAGTTGGATCCCTTCCGTTGTACTAACACAGCTCCCTCTGTCTGAGGTACATAATGGGCATGTACAAGGTAATTCTTCTGAGAAAATGAATTGGAACAACAAAGAGTTTTTATGTTAAACAGAAAAATATGTACATAGACAATCTGAAACCTAAATAACACATTCAAGAGCTCATATCAGAATCACAGTTTGAGGATCTTCAGTGAATCTACTATCTGTTAGACTCAGAATAATAAGTATTAATTATAACACAAAGGTCTTATTAAATAAGCTATAACTGCAACAGTATTTTAGAAAATAGAAAGACTTAAAAATAAACATTACCAAGGCTAGTATATAGTGACCAGAACAACCAGTCAATAATATGTGTGCTTCCTGTAGTGCATCTTGACATTCTGAGTATCAATATTTCTAGGTCAGGAGAAAATAATACAAATTTAACAACTTGATTTCCCATCTAAAACATGGAGAACAATGAGTTGGCTTTTTGGTAATGCATATTAAATATATTCATCAAGTTTGAATACAATCCTCAGTTTTCCAGGAATATTCAAGACTGCAAATTGCCACTCTCTTCATAAATTTCATTAAAAGTACATTCTCATTAATCCAGACATGTCAGTCATTCAACTCTAAAGGATTTAATTTCAGAGACCAAATTCAATCACTCTTTATATGTTTCATCAACATTTAAAAAAATTTTTTAAACAAGAGGAATAAAGTGTTCACTCAAAATTCGAACTGCCCCAATATTCATGGTTAAATCAACAAATGTATAAAAACAGTCTACAATAATACTAAAATGTTCAAGTCTACCTGTATCCATTTATCTTATTTCATGACCATGCCACTAGATGTGCATTGGTGTAAAGGTAGCCAAGTTCATGGGGCAAATGCATGCTGTTGTAGGTAGCTTCCCAGGGAAGCAGACTCTGAGATGGAATTTTAAGTGTAGGAGGGCTAATGAGGGAGGAGCAGAAACATCTCTTACTAGGGTGAGAGAAGCAGGACTGGACAAGGGAAAAGCTGAGTTATAATGGAGTCCTGGTATGGTGCCGCAGAATAATGTGCTAGACTGCAAGATCTGTTTGAACCTCGAAGTCAGCTTTTCAAACCCCCTAGCTGCTCCTTGGAAACTCTATACAGGGTTCCTATGGGACGGAATCCAGTTGACAGAATCCAGAATGTCCAGTTGACAACAAAAATGCTTAAACAATCCAACTGGACATTCTGGAGCTTGGATGGCCCTTTAGAGTAATTCTTCATTTGGGAAAAGAAGATGGGAATCTTCATAGCCCTAAATCAGCCAGTAATTGGATGAGGAGGGTATATAATCGAGGGCAAGGCAGCCTCCATCCACAGAGGGCAAGTCTTGATGAGATAATCAGTCAGCTGTGAGTCATCAGCAGCCAGCAGGTCCAATAACAGAGGACGTAGGCACAGTGGCCCTGAAGGGGTATTTGGACAGCTTCCTACAAGATCCACCACATATTTTCTACCAACGAATTGCATACAGATGCAACACATACCACCAGCCACTCCTCCAAAACCCTGTGCAGGGTCCCTATAGATCGCAATCAACTTAACAACACTTAATAATGACAACACAGCACTGAATAACAACAAAGTAAGGATATTTAGTGTATTTGCATACTATGTATGTAAAAATGTGCTTATGTGTAGGCATGTATTCGTATGCATGCACACCTGCAAACACATGGCCTGCATAATCTTAGCTTTAGAGCAAGCATTTTAGAACTTAGAAACCCGATATTCATATCATTTTACAGAGGAGGAACTGATGCTCAATAGGTTAAGTGATTTATCCAAGTCTTATTGAGTCGGAACAACTCCATGGCACATAATCATAACCATTGTAAGTTACAGATAGACAAGAATAGAACTGTGAGATCAATCGATAAGCCTGAGTAAACAATTATTGATGCCAAAGATATGGTGATTCAAAAATTAAATTTGAGTTCCATAAATTATGCCATAAAGTCTAATCAGAGATTTTACTTTTCCAAAAATAATTTTAGGTTTGGAGCAAATAAAATTTTCATAAAGAATTTAGCCTATCTTGAAAAATAGCATACTGGTATTTTGCATTCTTTACAAAGCCTTCATAAACAGTGTGCCTTTGATTTCTGAAAGAAAATCTGAAGACAGAGGCCTCCTTATGTCTACAAAGCTCTCCTTATGTTGATGGAATGGGGTGGGCAGGCAGATCATCCGATCAAACTTTATTTCTAGACAAAAATACATCAAAGTCAGGAGTGTTTCAAGTGAAAAGTTAGATGAACATAATATGAAATCATTTTAAACAATTAATCTTAATTTAAGGGAAATACACAATTTCATTTTGAAGCCAGATGAGTAGGATTTTCCGTTGCCTGTTGTATGGCTGTAGGCACCATACTGAGAGACTCCCAAGAAAACAGCTCCTTATGTATCTAGTTTGTATCACTGAAGACATTTCCTTTTGTTCACACTTACCAAAAAGGAAAACGCCTAGTCATTATAACAACAGTACCCTGTAATTGTCACTTAAAAACTTTTTCTAGATTCTAAAATATTCTGTTTTAAAACTTTCCTTATAATTAGTTTTCATTCATAATTATTTGTTTTTTGGTTTTCTTCTGAACAATCCCTATATTCTTCCACATCAATCAGTTTATGTAATCTAAGATTCTAAGAAATCTGACTTGAACAGCAAGAGAACCACCAAACCATTTATGGACTAAGTGGGCCTACTTTGAGCATTTTATCAGGCGCATTCAGAAGACACACAATAGCTTTACATTCCCTGCCTTCTTTAGGAGGGAGCTCCCTCTACGTGCTGCACATCCTGCAGTCTTCTTTCTACTATGTTATCTTTTAAAGTCTTATAATAAAATGCCTATTTTTTAAAAAAGCAAACAAAATGTTACTCCGGCATTCAAATGACTACCGTCTCTTTCAAAAGAGTTGTCTGGAGAACCTGTAGTTTAATTTTACAACGTTACCACTGTTGAAACTAGCTTTAAAAATCCTTTTCAAGTATTCCTTCCTAGCAATGTACTAGGTTTTATCAGAGCTTCAAAAAGAACAAAGCAGCATGATGCCTTTCAGAGGGAGCTTGAGGCTATGAATGCAGTCCAGACAGGTTCTGAGGGGAAAAAAAACAACTATAAAGATAGATTCAATATTTTGTAAAACCCAAAAATTTATTCAGATCAGAACCAAATCAGAAGAGGAAGACACACCTACAGTCAAGCCTGTCAAAAACAAATAGTAGCAAAGGAAAAGAGATGAGGCTAATTGTCTTTGTTGAACGAATTATAAAATGAATCAGAAGAAAGGAGTTACAGAGAGCACCAAACATAATTACGTGTATGAGGCAGGGGAGGGAGGGGGGAAGCAGAGGCAGAGAAGAAAGAGGAAGACTCTCAACGTCCTTGAGTAGAATAGCCAAATTTAGATTTGTGATTACTTTGTAATCACATTGTATATGGTAAATCAATTTCATCTTGTTCATGAAATTGAGTTTTTCACTTAATCATTTATAAGATCATTTCATTCAGTCATTGAACATACATTTATTTCGTACCCACCAGGCACTAAAGATACAAAGATAAAGAAGCTCAGATAGACGAGACTGCAAACAACAACATAATATATTAAGTGTATAATACAAGTACACAAAGTAACCAAGAACAGATACTACCAACTCTCCCTGGGAGGATTATGAACAATTTCACAGAAGAGCTAATGATTTAAAGGATGAGTATGAATTTGCTATGCAGAGATGGTCAGGGCTGTGTAAAGGCCGTGATGTCACTAGGAGAGTGTGGGATGACTATATCAGGGGACACTCAGATGGGGTAACACCTAAATAACTGTCTATAGAATTTCTGTGCAGTGTTTCAGCTGACTGTTTTGTTTTTTTTTTTTTAATAAAAGTATCCTTGTATCTATAACAATCAGCACATATAAATCTAGCTTACATGTATCAACATATCTACAAGGCTAAAATATATGCTCACTTGATTTTTGAGGTCAGTGTGGCACTGTAGGATAAGTAAGGTTGATTTAAAAGGCAAGGTGGGTGGTTCATACTCACCAGCTGCTCCTTGGAATTCCTATGCCGGGTCGCTATGAGTCTGAACCAACTCAATGGCACTTAACAACAACAAATGTAATTTGGACAGAGATGGCATTATTATCCAATTACAATGATGCTTCAGATCACATGGTTTCATCTGCATGCACTACAAGTGGTACTGCTGCTTTTGTTGTTGCTTATGCTCTTACAGTTACTGATTTTGTCAGATCTTCTGTTTTAGCTACAATACAGTGGTGATTCATATTTGTTAATCTTATTAATAGCTTACTGGAGAATTAAGTAGTAATTAAAGGAAAAGAAGGATAAAAATCAAATAAGATTTCTGTTCGGTTATGAATAATGTAGTGTATTGGTATGGCACTGTAGGTTAATAAGCTGGACTGCAAGGTTGGTGGTTCAAGCTCACCAGTTGCTCCTCGGAAATCCTATACAGGGTCGCTATGAGTCTGAACCAATGCAATGGCACTTAACAACAACAATCGTAATAATGTTGCAATTAACAATGTAATTCAATGCAGATTTTACAAAATAACTGTTGTCAATATTCATATAATCTAAGAATTATCTGTAGGCAATTTCTCATTTTGCTTATATATTACTTTAAGATTTAAATTGATAATAAATATTACTAATGATTCTGTATGGTCTTGTATAGGAAGAGGCCCATGGGGAGATAAATACCATGAGTTACTGCACTGGGTAGCACCAATGCCAGTGATGCCCCTATAGAGACCACTCCAATCAAAGGGGACAGAATAGGCAGAGGCCTGAATGGAAAAATAAGGGATCATATTCACTGCCAATTTCAAGATGGCAATCTAAGTCCACACTGGGATCTCCCGGCCCTGTCAGATCTGAGAAATGATTGAAGGAAGGGAGAGAAGAAAAAGGGAGGGAAAGAGTAAGGAAGAAACAGGGTGAGAATGAACACAAACAACATTCACAAATTACAAGGGAAATTTTCATCAAAGAGTATTGTTGTTGGTAAGTGTTGATGAGTCGGTTCTGACTCAAAGCAACCCTGTATAGGGTTTCCAAGGTTTTAAATTATGACCCCAAAAATATATGAAGACAAGTTAGAGAAGTGTCAGACTGTTAAGTAAATTAAAAAAAACAACAACTTCATGCTATTTTGGAAAATATTTGGGTATTTGACAACTTTTTCAGATTTGTAATGTGTTGTGCTTTCTTTTCTTATTCGAAATATGCAGTTTTGTGTGTGTGTGTGTGTGTGTGTATATCTATATATGTTGTTATTAAATGCCATTGAGTTGGTTCTGACCCATAGCTACCCTGTATAGGGTTTCCGAGGAGCAGCTGGAGGGAGAGCTTGAGCCACTGACCTTGCAGTTCAAATGGCTTTGAAGTCTGGTGCATTAACCCACAGAGCCATAGAGCTCTTTCCTTACAAAAGACCGCTCAGATTAGATAAATTTTAGCCCCTACACAAAATCTGGAACTTCCTCCTTTAGAAAAAGCCACTAAATGGCCACTTGCTATTGTTGTTAAGTGCCGTCGAGTCAGTCCCAATCCATAATAACCCTGTATACAGTTTCTGAGGCTGTACAACTTTCTTGGAGCAGAAAGTCTCGTCTTTCTCCTGTGGTGCAGCTGGTGAACTTGAACTACCCACCCTGTGGTTCGCAGTCCAGTGCTTGTCCTAAAGATAATTAAATGTCTAGGATCTGCAGCCCAATGGAGATGAAGAGAAAATGTTGAGTCTGAGATCTGACATGTACAATAGAAAAGAGTCTTAGTCAAGTGGATGTGAGGAATAGGAAGGAAGGTGGAGTCTAGATGATGCTTGCTTGGACAGTTTTATCAACACTTGCCAAGATGGGGAACTTGGGGGAAAAGCAGATGTCTGTGGAAACACAGATCAAAAGTGAAAATGGAACCAGAAAAAACAGACAGGGCCATCATCAGTGAAAATACAGAGCAAGTCAGAGCAGACCAGAAGGCTTGTGGTCCAGGTAAAGAGCAAGATGAGATGAAGCCAAAGGATGGAAGGAATTCTTAGAAACTACTACACAATGTGTGGTGTGGGGAGGAAGAGAACCAGAATTAGAAGACCCAGAAAAGAAAAACAGAGTAACGTTATTATGTGGAGGGAGAGGTGTATTTGAATAATCTCAAAGAATTGATGTTAAAGTATATTAAATTTGGCAATAAGGAAGCAATTGGCGATATGACTGAAAACAACCTCCATTTAACTGTGAAAGTGGAAGTCAGTCCCTAGTAGAGTGAAGCATGAATGGAAAGTCAAGAAGAGGACTCGGTTTGGAAAGTGAATGACTGAAACATCATGGCCCAGGCAAAATAAATATAGGGAAGTAGTGGGGGTGTGGGGTCAAGAAGAGTCAAGCCTACTTCAATTGTATCTATGAATGATAAACATATGCCATCCTATGACCCAGTTGTAAAGTAACAACGCAAACAGTCTTCAAAGGGAGAATGGCAACAAGGAAGCCAATTGTGGCATATTCATACTACAGAATATTACACGGCAATAAGAACAAACTACAGATTATAGGCAACAGGGATGAATCTCAAAAGTATTATCCTAAGTGACATCAGCCAGACAAAAACTCTATATATTATCTTAATTGCATTTATAATAAATTTAAGAATATTGGTGAGTTCTGGGGTAGATGATCTAAAAGTTCCGCTCCCAAATCCATAGTCTTATGTGTACAATCTATCTTTCCCACTTTGATATTTTGTTGTTCTTATTAAGTGTTAAGTGTAGGGCTTTCGAGGCTTTTAAATTTTTGTGGGAGTAGAAAGCCTCATCTTACTCCCACGGAGTGGCTGGTGACCTTGAACTGTGGAATTTGTGGTTCACAGTTGGGTGTTTGTCATATGGAGACACAGTGCTTTGCTAGGTTACCAAAAGGTACTTTTCCAGCATTGTGTCAGCCTACAACCTCTCATATGTCAAAAGAACACAATGGCTGTCTTCCTTCCCTTCTGTAGAAGAGCAAATTAGAAGACAGATTGGTATCCCTCAGAATCACAGACAGTTGAGACAGTCTCCTTTGATGTTTCATTAGCATATCCGCTGATAGATTTAGCAGCTGGCATTTGAATCCACCGTAATTTTTTTTTTTTTTTATTGTATTCATCATTAGTAAACTTAGTTCTGTTAAAAGTAATATGGTACCTACACACTCCCACTATAATACAAAAAATTAAATACTCACCATTTTGTCTGGTACCAACAGCAGCAATGATCACCGGAACCGAGTTTAATGCTCTTTTAATCACAGGAATATAATTATCTTTTACTTCATGGAATGAAAACTTGTCATTTACATTGTATTTTATCACAATGATGTCGGCGCCCCCAATGAGATTCCGAGAGGTGTACCAATCACTGTCAAAAATATCCTAAACCAAAATGCAAAGGGTATTCTTATTTATTTTTTGCAAAATCAATGAAAACATATTCAATATTTTGCTGTATTCTAATTCTTACAATTCATAAAGATTACTTAATTTTTAAATACTATATAAAACAAAAATGTTTAGAATCTGTTCTTTTCAAATTTTTATTTTACTTAGTTTGTCTAGGAAAAAAAAATATGCAGTAATAAAACATAAAATCTAGAAAATTCCTGAGAATCATAACGTAAGCAACCTCTTTCAATATCTGTACTTAAAAATAAACATTTCACTTTAAAACTAAGCTGTTTTGTATCACAAGTATGTAGCACTATGGCAGTAGATGTGATACATTGGAATGAGTATAGACACTTCACAGGATTAAAAATATTTTTAAATCTTTCTTTCAGTGTTTTGATATTCTAAATCAACTGTGAACTCTGTGTTATTCCATATTTTTCATCCATATTTCCAAAATTCATATATACTTTTCAACTTCATCCATTTTTTTGGATAATACCATATGTGTATAAGGAGCTCTGATAGCATAAGTGGTTACGAATTATGCTACTAACCTCAAGGTCTGCAGTTTGAAACTACCAGCTGTTCTGTGAGAGAAATATGAGGCTTTCTACTACCGTAATGATTTACAGCCTCAGAAGTCCTGTACAGGGTTGCTATGAGTCAGAACAGACCATATATACATGTGTATAGTGTTTATGACAGTTATGAAGTTGGCCCAGGATCGGGCAGTGTTTCGTTCTGTTGTGCATAGGGTAGCTATGAGTCGGTACTGACTCGATGGCACCTATCAACAACAAATAGTGTATATGTGGGGTGGGATGGATTATGCCTCCAAAAGAGACTGTGTTTTTGTTAAGGGGTTAACATGGTAAGGGATATATTTGCAATGAATGGATTTTGCTTATATAAAGGGTAGGATAAACTGGGCTAGTTTTGAAATCTTTACTTTTGGATTACATTTAATAATATTTATATTTACAGTCCTGGTGTGGCACTGTAGGATAAGCACTGGACTGCAAACTGAAAGGTCAGCTGTTCAAACCCAGCAGCCGCTCCTCAGAAACCCTAACAGGGTTGCTATGAGTCAGAATCAACTCAACACTTAACAACAACAACAACAAATTAGATTGGGACCAAAAGTAATTAAATTTTCAAAGCTTCTTTGTGAACAATTCCATATGAAAAATATCTTTATGCATCTAATATCACGGCCACATAGACATTTTTTTTCCCTTGTTGTTGTTGTTGTTGCTAAGTGCCTTCAAGTCAGTTCCAACTCATAGCGACCCAGTAGAGGGTTTCCGAGTGGTGGCTGAGTTTGAACCACCAACCTTGTATTTTAAACTGACCTTGCGGTCCTGTGCTTATCCTACAGTGCATTGAAATGTGAGCCCCAATCTGGGCAATAGTGTCTGAGGCAATCAATCACTCAAGATGAGTGTGAAAGAGCTTTAATCCGAATTCTAGAATAGTGTCTTAGAGCAATGCCCTTTCTCTCTGAGAACTTCTTCTCACCAAGTCTCCCCAGCCTTGTATTACTAACACAAAACAAAACTCACTGCCATCAAGTCAGTTCTGACTCACAAGGATTCTACAAGACAAAGTAAAATGGCCCCACAAGCTTTCCAAGGCTGGATCTTTATGGACGCAAACTGCCACATCTTTCGCCCACAAAGAAACTGGTGGATTTGAAAGACTGACCTTTCAATTAGCAGACAAGTAGTTAACCACTGCACTGCCAGGGCTCCTCACCCCCTCCAAAGCCTCTCCCAATTCCTTATACACTCCCTCACCTACCTATCTCCCACAAGTACACTTGAGTAAGAAGGGTAGCAGAAGTTTTAGATAGGATTCCTGGTGTGGTGCTATAGGATAAGCACTGGACTGGTAACCGCAAGGCAAGTGGTTCAAACCCACTAGTTGCTCTTTGGAAACCCTATACAGGGTCACTCTGAGTCAAAACCGACTCCACGGCACTTAGCAACAACCGCCGTTCTGAAAGTGAAGTGGATAGAGCACTGTTTAAGGAAATTTAAAAGACCCATAAATTTGGCAAACTATAGAATAAAAACACCAAAGGCAAAAGTTTACACTAGGTAGAAGAAATAATAGTGGGTAGAAGTGGAGTAAGAGACAGGACTGGGCAATGTGAAAGCTTCCCAGCAGAGCACTAATTTCAAAATCTCAAACTGCAAAATCCCTTCAGTCCCAACTGGGTCTCTATCCTATTATTCAAGTTCAAATATATAAGTATGTTGTTTTTGTCAAGTGCCATCAAGGAGTCATTTCTGACTCATAGCGACCCTGTATAAGGTTTCCAAAGAGTAGTATAAAAGTGTAACAAAGAATGGGGGAAAGTCAGATGAATGGGATAAAAAACCAAATATACGTGAAACCAGTATTAGACCAGTATTAGTCATCTCTTCTGAAAGAACCGATTAAAAAAAAAAAAACAAAACAAGAACAACAACAACAACAACAAAAACACCTCTCTTCCCATTTCACAGAGTTCAAAATTCCAGAGTTACCAAAAAGGTATAGAGAAGAGACACTTAAGGAAAAAGTGTCATGAGAAAATGGATACTAGCATCATTAATACTGTGGTACTGAGGATGTATAAAGACTGCAACTGTATTTGTAATATAAGTCAGACAAAAATTATAAATGCATTAATTACGTCACTGCTTTTTACGTAATATTTTTGGTAAATAAGAAAAGACAAAGAAACGCAAAATGGGATAATAATGTAACAACACTCAGAAAAAGGAAGTGAGTGGTAAGAGAGATATACTAAAAAATGAGCTATATCTGATACATCTAAAATATTTTTATTTTGAAAATGCCAAGTATGTAGAGCAAGGTTCCAGAATAAGACTAAGGATATTCAGATGAGGATTAAGGAAGAAAATTTCAACTATCTCAATCCAACTTGAAAACAATGCATTTCTTCTCAAACTATGTCAGAGATAAAGTACACTATTGGTTTCCAGAATTATGAAGGAAATAAAAATTTCCCACCCTTTGTAAATTAGTGCCAGGATTTCCTCTAGGGAGTTATGCAATACAAGGCATAGAACAACATTTGTAGGACTGAATTCATCTTTTGAAAAATCATTTTAAAATCTTATTTTTAATCTGAATTTCTACAGTGAAACATCTTTATTCTACATGACTGTGGGGCTGCAAATACAGCACCGACGAAATACTAACATCACTGTCTCAATGTATTTTATGTGCAAAAAATCTTGACTCTTGCTTAGTGTAAGTGATACATTGTTAAAGTAGTAATAAACATGTGGTGATGGTTGGTGGTTATGTGCCATGGAGTCAATTCCGACTCATAGCGCCAAGGCTGTAAATCTTTACAGGAGCAGAAAGCCTCATCTTTCTCTCGCGGAACAGCTAGTAATTTCGAACTGCTGGCCTAATTCATAACCACTAAGCTACCAGAGCTCCTTAATAAACTTGTATTCAAGTAGAATACCACTAATGAGCATCCACTATGTGCCAGCCACTCTGCTTGGAATTTTACATGTGCAATCTCATGTAGTACAGTGGTTGCTAAGCATTGGACTGCTAACCAAAAGGTCGGTGGTTCACATCCACCAGCCACTCCACAGGAGAAAGCTGAAACTGCCTTGCTCCTGAATAGAGTTACAGTCTCAGAAACCTTAAGGAGCTATTCTACTCTATCCTATAAAGTCATTATGAGTAAAAAGATCAACTCACTGCCAGCAGGCTTCGGTGTCTCATTGAATCCTTAGTACAACTCTTGTTGTTGTTAAGTGCCGTGGAGTCAGTTCCGACTCCTAGCGACCCTGTACAGGGTTTCCAAGGCTGTAAATCTTTATGGGAGCAGAAAGCCTCATCTTTCTCCGGTGGAACAGCTGATAGTTTCGAACTGCTGACCTTAAGGTTCGCAGCCCAATTTGTAACCACTACACTACTACTCTAAGACCCAGGAAATATACAGATGAAAGAGGATAAATAACTTATCAAGGACACTCTCATTAAGTGGCAGTGAGAAGTCCTTTGGTTATCAAAATCTGTGCTCTATTGGCTTTGCAATATTTAATATTCTGATTCAGTACCTATGTCAAACATCAGCTGATGAAGTATCATTAACTTTAATATCTCTACTGAGCTTTCCTTATTACCCAAAGAAAAATAAAGCATTTTATAATGAGTAACCCTAGAAATTTGTATTATTATACCTGAAGACCATAATAACCTAGAAACCTGTACCTGGCTACAAATTTACACACAAAAACAATAGCATAATAAACCATAATCATTTAAAAGGTTCCATTTTCTAAGCATAATACACAAGGTCACAACGTAGTGATTTTTGCTAAATTAACAACATAAACAGAAGAGCTGTTAAACTGGAAAAAAAAAATCTAACATTCTAATTCAGCTTGTTTTAGTTTCCTTATGTTTATTTACTCTACTCACTCATATGAAGTCCTGGTGTGATCAGTACTGGGCTTCTAACCACAGGCTGGAGGTTCAAACCCATCAGCTGCTCCTTGGAAACCCTATACGGTTTGCTGAGTCAGAACTGATTCAGCAGCACATAACAACAACAACAATTCATTGCATGTTGAACCAATATGAATGTCGACTGTAAGATTTGTCATAATGAAAGTTTTTGTTTTTGTTTTGTTTGAAAAAAGGATTCATTTGTTAGTATGTCCATACACACTTTAACAAACTCTTACCAATACTCCTCTTATTATTAGCATCAGTACTGTTACAATTAGGAATTTAATGTTGTTGTTAAGTGCTGTTTAGTCATGTTCAACTCAGAAACCCTGTATAGGATGACTGAGGAGCTGGTGGTGAATTTGAGCCATTGACACTGCAGTTAACAGTCTAGTGCTTACCCTACAGCGCCACACTAGGACTGTTCTTATTAAGTGCTGTCAAGTCGATTCCGACCCATAGTGACCCTGTACAAGGTTTCCAAGGAGCAGCTAGTGAGCTTTGAACCACCAACCTTGCAGTTCAAACGGCTTTGCAGTCTGGCACATTAACCCACCGTGCCATAGGACTAGCAATCCTGTTATTCAAAAGGGTTGGTTTTTGTTTTTCAGTTCCTTTCTTTTCTGGCTGCCATGAAGTTGAATCAGACTCTTAGTGACCCTAATATAGAAAGGCCCCATTGCTGTTGTTTTTAAGTGCCTACAAGTAGGTTCCAACTCATAGCAATCCTGTATAGGTTTCCGAGGAGCAGCTGGTGAGTTTGAACTGCCAACCTTGAGGTTCAAAGCAACTTTGCAGTCCAGCACATTAACCCACAGCGCCACACCAAGACTCTAGAACTGCCCCATAGGGTCTCCTAGACTGTAATCTTTCCAGGAAGGAGCTCTGGTAGTGTGATGGTTACAAAACGGGCTGCTAACCTCAGGATCAGTAGTTCAAAAAGTACCAGCTGTTCCATGGGAGAAAGAGGAGGCTTTCTGCTCCCGAAAAGATTTACAGCCTCAGAAATCATGTACAGGTGGCTATTAGTCAGAACCGACTCCACAACACATCACAACAACAACAATGACCTGGTCTGTCCTTTTGAGGAGCCACTTGTAGGTTCAAACAGGCAAGCGTCTGCTCCAGTAAAGATTACAGCCTAGGTAACCCTATGGGGCAGGTCTACACTATACTCCAAGGGTTGCTATGAGTTGGAATTGACTCAACGGTACACAACAACAAATTTTCCTTTAACTGAAAATTTATATGGGGAAATTATCTCTCCGTAATATGGACAACTATATAAGAAATTTTTCTACATAAACTGTATATACGTTTATTTAGAAAGATGGGCAAGCACAGGCGTTAACAATTCTGAGAATGACGCAGAATCACGCAGTGTTTTGTTCTGCTGTGCATAAGGTCGCTGAGTCGGAACTCCAGGGTACCTAACAACAACAGTTTGACTCAGGAGGTTTGTTTGTTTTTTAATTGCTGCTTGAATGTATAAGTCTTATTTAATGCTTATCTGCATTTTGTTTTCAGGCACTGAAATGTTTTTCATAAAGTTCAATCTTAAAACACCAACATAACTCCAACATAAAATACCAGAAATTTTCAGATTAAATGAAAACATTCAAAATATGTTGTGTACAGAGGACATTTATGTGTATGACTAAGGCTATTCCTTTCTTCTTTTACCAATCACTCAAAAATTAAATTGGAATTGATGTACTGTTAATAATTTTTTTAATTGAAAAATTAACTCTAAGCAGCATTAATATTTCTCATTTAGGAGTCAGTAAAAATAAATGGCCAATATAACAAGAGTATCTACATTATTCAAAATAAAAACACTAATATAAAATTTTCAGAGGGGAATAATACTAAAAACGAGTCACGTGAAATTTATTTTCAGTCTTTGTCTCTTCCCCTTCCCTCTTTTTCCAAGGCTCCTATTTTTGAACGGCCCCAGTGAAAGTATTTTTATATTATCATCCATTGGGTTGTTGTTGTTGTTGTTAAGTGCCTTCGAGTCGGTTCCGACCCATAGCGACCCTGTACAGGGTTTCCGAAGGTGTAAATCTTTACGGGAGTAGAAAGCCTCATCTTTCTCCCGCGGAGCGGCTGGTAGTTTCGAACCGCTGACCTTAAGGTTCGCAGCCCGATTCGTAACCACTACGCTACCAGAAAACACTAATATAAAATTTTCAGAGGGGAATAATACTAAAAACGAGTCATGTGAAATTTATTTTCAGTCTTTGTCTCTTCCCCTTCCCTTTTTTTCCAAGGCTCCTATTTTTGAACGGCCCCAGTGAAAGTATTTTTATATTATCATCCATTGGGTAGGCATGAAAAAAAAACCAAAAAAAATTGCTCTCTGCTGGTGAAACTTAGTGACCCAGTCCCTTGGGGTTGGCACATTCAACTGTCAGCTGTCTACCAAGGGACAACCCACAGCGTGAAGTGTAGAGTAAGTGCTCTGCATTCCCACCGGGGCTTTTTGCCTTCCAGGAGTGTTCTCTGGGTTGCACACTGTTCATTGAAACAAAGAACCCTAGATTTTCGCCCCCAAATGTGTAAAAACTCTACCCAAGTGGCCCAGATACTCCACCTTCATGGAAAGGAGCAAAGGGAAAAGGGGGATTTAAAAAGGGAAGAAAAAAAAAAAAAAAAAGGCTCCTTCAGCCTAGCACAGAGCAGCTGCTGCTCCTTACCCAGACAGGGCAGTCGTGGACCACCAGCTTGACATTCCCAAATGCGCTGGCTTGATACTCCGTGAACACGGGACGCGCCACTGTACTGGTCGCGTTCAGCAACAAGCTGCTTTCGTCTCCTGAGACCAGAGGGCTTCTTCCCAGGTACGTGCGGATGAGCCCCGACGGCCGATTGTCCTGATGAAAAGCGTCCCCCTCATTCCCCAGCGCCACAATGTGAATGGACCTACAGGGGCAGAGAAAGGGACGGGAGGAGAAAGGGGCCACGGTCAGCTCGACTGTCCACTTTAATCGAACAGGAAGTGCGGGGGGTGGGCAGGCGCGCGGTGAGGATGGGCAGGAGCCCCTTAACCAAGGCACACGACACGCGTTCAGTGCACAGACAATGGCAGGACGGCGACGCGTACATACATGATCTCAAATCCAAGGGCAGGGCGGCGACTCGACTCGGAGAAAAGCGCCTTTTCACGGCGTCTCGGGGCCCGTCCGTGGTGTGTTTTCCCGCAATCCACTCATCCCAAGCTGTGTCCCCTTCGCGCGCCTCCACCGCGGTGCGGCCGACGCAGAGCGAGGCCGCGCCAGCCAGCAGGCGAAGGAGTGAGCGAGCGAGCGAGCAAGCGAGCTGGCAGGCGCAGAGGGACTGGGTGTGCGAGTCCACCGGGTGCGCGCTGCCAGCCAGTCAGGAAGTGCCCGGGAACATCCCCAGCGGCCGCTCCCACGAGTCGCCAGGCACTGGGCCCGTGTGCAGCCCAGAGTGGATCCCGCTGACCCGCAGCCCCCTCTCCGCTGCGCCTCCAAGGCCCAGCAGCTGTCGCCTCCTGCTGCTGCTCCTCCTCCTACTGGCCGGGGCCTCCGCCCCCTCGGCGGCGGCGGTGGCGGCGGACCGGGCGGGCACAGCACGTGCCGGCCCCTGGGAGGCGGGCGGGCGTGGGGGACGCGGTGGACGCGCTCCTAGCTGAGGCCCCGGGCCACTGCCGGACACAAAAGAGCGGCCAGTGCGGGGCGCCTGGTGAACTAAATTAACAAAACGCAAAAGCCCCTGAGCTCCCGGCCGCCAATCCGCCAGCCGCAAGTTGGTTCAACTCTAAAGGCTGTGTGTAACCAGAGCCCTGGAAAGTGGGGTGGGGCGGAGAGGCCCCAAGGACTACAGACTAAAAAAGGAGGTGGGGGAAGCTTGGGACTCAGGCCGGTTTACACCGCTAGCAACCTGGTTTTTTACCCCTTTTGGCCTTGACCAAAAGTGCTTTACCACGTCCGCTGCTTTGTCTTTTGTCAACATGCACTACAGCTGTTTCCAAAAATCAAACTCATTAGAAAAAATAAAGGCATCATTCATTCTGGTGCAGAAAGGGTTCTTTGTTCATTTGCCAAGTAATTTGCTAATGTCGCTTTTAGGGGATTATTTACTATTTCTAGCTATATTTGACATATTCTACCCAAATTGTAGTAACAGCAGCTTTTAAATTTTTTTTCAAGTACTGGGGCTTTTATTGTGATAGCTTTTAAAAGAAATATGTGTGAGGCATTTAACATGTTTACAAGCTAAGTGTTAGTGTACTCAGAGATTTCTCAGTAAATATTATGGCTACATATTTAATAATAGCTTCCAAGAAAATAACGATCATGCTAATGCAAGAATATTTTAGATTCTTTTGTAATAACGCGCACGTAAGTAAAGGTTATGAACATCCCCCAAAGGACCTCAATGCGAATGAACGCTGGAGTCTACTAGAAGAAGGGCCAGGGCTTACTCTGGGCCTCAAATTCTTCATAAATATTAAAATTCTTACAAGTGCTCTGAGTTGAAAGACTTCTTGTTTATCCTTTTATGTATTTTGCCTGCTTTAAAATCATGCTTTTTCTTTTCTCAAAATAGCTAATTTGAGAGTATGAAACATGATGTAACCAGTAGAGCACTGAAAAGTCTAGGGTTAGAGGTCTACAACTTATTACAGACCCTTATTGATCAGTTGAAAGTCATAGTTAATTAGCTTCTAATGCTCAAATAGGATATAATAGGAGGTATTGTCTGTGGTCACTGACTTTTTTTTTTTTTTTAATGTATTTTCCCTTTGCACTCACTAGACTTTTTCTTTTAATCTTTAGAACCTAACCATCCTAAGAAAAGCAAGAATACAGGATCACCATTTCTGTTATGTTAATAGACAGTCCCTTCCAGTAAACTACAAGTCAAAACAAAGAGTAAGTGTGGCAGCTGAGAAGTGGCAGGAATACAAAAGATATTCAGTCTTTCCTCAGTATGAGAGAGCCAAGCCTATGCTAGGCAGGTATGGAGAGCAGAAGATACTTAGGAGCCAGTCCTTGCCCTTGAGAAGCTAAGTCTAGTAATGGTTTTTCTATTGTTAATATTAATGAACTTGATCCTTTTGAAAATATACTGCTCCTTAATTATAATACAAGCTTATTTATGCATGCAACAGTAGAGGTAAGGATAAAGTTCAGTGAACATTAAGGTGAGATCTGTGCCTTCTATGTTATCACAGAGGTAATCTGTTAACTTGGTTCTTAAAAAATGAGGAGTTTGCTAGTTTGGGAGGAAGAGGAAGTTGGAAGGGAAGGAGTAGCAAGCAAAGGGAACAGATATCATATGAAAGGAATGGAAACATGGAGCATCTTGGCTTAAGCAAGGGCCCACAGATAGTGAAGTTAGTATATCCTCTCGTTGAATGCCATCGAATTGCTTACAACCCATAGCTACCCTGTGTAGGGTTTCTAAGGAGCAGCTGGTAAGCTTGAACCACTGACTTTACAGGTCAAACTGACTTTGAAGTCCAGTGCATTAACCCACAGCATCATACCAGGACTCCTTAGCATTGCTTGCTGATTCCTACATTAAGGCAAGCAGAAAAGGGAGGAGTGAAAGCTTTACAAGAGATTTTAAAATTCGGCCTAGGTGATACTCAAGTTATATTGAGAATCCCTGATCTAACCTGGTTGCTATGTATATGATAAAGACTGGCTAAATGCTTACCAAACCTGTTTTTTCTTCCAGGGCCCAGAGCTAAAATATATACATATATCCCAACATTTTTGCATTTACATAGGACCAAATGTTTAGTTCTCACCAGTGTTTCTCTACTGTGGCACTTAAGAACAGGTTAAGATACTATCATATCCACATGTTCTCCTACCTTCTCTTATCCAGTCATCAGGAAAAAAAGTTGTCTGGTAGAATTGTAAACTCTATGGGTAAAAGAGCCATATGAAATAATTCACTGCACTGAAGGTCACCCCCCTGGCTCTTCTAGTCATTGTCCCTTTCATACATGAAAGATGGAACTTTTTCCCATAATAATCATTTTAACTGTGCATACTCATGAAAACTTATAAGCAGCCACATTGTGTCTTTATCTCCTCCCATTTTAGATATCCAGTGTCTAAATTGCCCATCCCTATATGGAGTCCTGGTGTGGCGCTGTGGGCTATTGCATCAGACTGCAAAGTCATTTGAACTGCAAGGTCAGTAGTTCAAGCTCACCAGCTACTCCTTGGAAACCCTATACAGGGTCTCTATGGGTCAAAATAGACTCTACGGCACTTAACAACAACATTTTAGTGTGGCACTGTGGATTAATGAGCCAGACTGCAAAGCCATTTGAACTGCAAGGTCGGTGGTTTAAACTCACCAGCTGCTCCTCAGAAACCCTATACAGGATCGCTATGGATCAGAATCAGCTCGACAGCACTTAACAACAACAACAACAACAACATTAACCCATTGGGGAATCCTGGTGTGGCACTGTGAATTAATACACTGGACTGCAAAGTCAGCTTGAACTACAAGATCGGTGCTTCAAGCTCACCAGCTTCTCCTTGGGAATCCTATACAGGGTCTCTATAGGTGGGAAACAACTCAACTCAACAGCGCTTAACAACAACAACAACTAAACCAACCATTGGATTCCTGGTGTGGCATTGTAGGCTAATGCACTGGACTGCAAAGTTGGTTTGAACCACAAGGTTGGCAGTTCAAGCTCATCAGGGGCACCTCAGAAACCCTATGCAAGGTCACTATGGGTCAGAACCAACTCAACAGCACTTAACAACAATATTAGCCCATTATATTAAAGGGACAAGCATGTTCCTTGATGTGAAGAATCATCATTCTTGTTGGAACTTTTGAGCATCTGCATCCATAAGCAAAGTCTAGCACAGAGCAAGCAATCAAAATTGCAGCAATTTATACCAGCTCACAGTATCAAATATCTCTTTCTTTATTTGGCTGGTTTCTGGTCAATTAAGCCCTAGCAATCCAAACTAGGTCAAATGGGTACCAACTACAAGCTTGGGAGTCCTGCACTTCAGAATAGCTGGCCCCTTCTTTCTCTTTCACCCCCACCCCCTCATTCTCTTTTCCCATCTCTCCTTCTCCGTCAGTCCTAGCCCCCATGGGCTAGGTTGATATCGTAGGTTCAAGAGTTCACACATCTTCCCAACATCAGACCAGCCAACCCTTCCTTTATTTTCTCAACCTGATTCTTTATTGCTGCATTCTCTCCAACTTCTCCTCAGCAAGTGGACCCAACTAGTTACCAGCAAGCTTACCAGCCTGACTGCTCACTGGCTCCCTTTAACTCTCAGATCTAGAATAGAATGTTCTCTGATGAGCATCCACTTTTCTTGTCTTGAAGCATCCAATGTCAAACTGCTTGCCCAAAATTCAAAATGACTTACTGAAGGTCTTGCCTTTAAATGTAAATCTTCTATTCTCTCAGCAGCTCTGGGTACATATGCATGTATTTTTAAATGCAAATTTTCAGTTGCTGCAAGTTCCTGGGCAGAGCTCAGTTTTCTATTTAAGCCCCTAAACTTTATATACAAGCTACTGGCTTATAATAAAGCCTATACCTTCCGTGTGATAACTTGTCTATGCCAAGAAATTTGGAAGACAACTACCTGGCAAACTGATTGGAAGATATCCATATTTATGCCCATTCCATAAAAAGATGGCCCAACTGCTGATAAATACCCAGACTTTCCATGCTGCTATATGCCTCAGCCTGAAGACACTTGGCTCTAGCTCCATGGGTCAGCAAAACTAACTCCCCCAATTACATAAATGCCAGGAGGCACCTCACTTTCTCAAACAAACTTCCTGCCCAGAGGCACTCAGCTTTACTTGCTTGTGGGCCAGGAACAATATGTTAGCATCACATGCAAGCAAAATGTTGAAGATCATTTAAAAATGGTTACAGCAGTTCATCAACAGGGAGTTGCCAGAAATTCAATCCAGATTCAGAAGAGGACATGGAACAAGGTATATCATTGCTGACATCAGCGGAATCTTGACTAAAAGCAGAGAATACCAGAAAGATGTTTACTTGTACTTTATTGACTAAGCAAAGCCTTCGGCCTTGTGGATCTGAACAGGAAAAGGTAAAAACATTCACTGCCTTCTCCACCCAGGAGACAAGCTAAAATGTTAATCAGGTTACTGAGTGGGACCAATCTTCTCTGCCCAGGAGTCAAAGTAGAATGTCAATCAGGTTACTGAGTGGAATCAATCCTCTGGTTTTTCTCCTGTCTTCAAACAGTTCCACAACCTAACCCCTCCATGATTCTGACACCATATAAGTCTGCACTGCTCTGTATTCGGGGCTCAGAATCTGGA